CTGGCGAGCGCGTAAGGGAAGAAGTTGGAGAAAACGGGGGACCACTGGGGACCTGCTGGGAGTAGGGGGAGCCCCCATCCGGGAGCACCCATCTGGGCCTCGAAGGCCCGGCCGCAGCAGCCTGTGGGGACTCCTGTCCCTGCCCGGGGCCGAGCTGGGCACTCCCGGGAAACTCCTCTAGAAGTTGTCAGGCTGCTTTGAGTCCTTCCCAGGTGCTGGCCCCGGGCACCGGGGGAGCCCTGGGGAGGAGGCGAGAATTCTGGGATCGGAGCCGATCGGCTTTGCCCTCCCTGGGGCACCCCTTCCGTAGACGCCGGGTTGGACATAGACTTCCTGAAAAGAGGTGCATCGGGAGGAGAGGGGCACAGGCCTTGGGGAGGGCCTGCCCCTGCTGCTCAGAGGCCGCTGGCCAGGCCTTGGGGTCTGAGCCTGGCCTCCCACTGTGACTGTCCAACTCCAGAGATCCGAAGGAATGAGTTTATTTTAACTTCTTGGACACTGAGATTGGGGGTTGGAAAGGGTTAAATTCAGGATGCGGAGGGAGGGAGAGTTGAATTGCTCAAATGCGGCTCTGAGCCCCAAAGTGCAAACAGCCACTATTTCTCCCAAACGCGCTCACCTCCTCAGGGTCCGCAAACCTGACAAAGAGGCTTTGTTGCCAGGTAGGCATTCTCGCAGCCGCTCCGTGTGTCTGGGGGGGGATCTGCAGCCAGCCTGGATGGAGTGGGCAGGGGCTCTCAGGCCGCCCTGGCACAGTTGGCCTGGGGCCCTAACTGGGACCTGGGGGTGTGGGGTCACAGTGACAGGTTCCTGTCCTGGTGGCTGAGCACCTGCACGCGGGTTTTCTTCTCTCTCCTCTGGGGCAGGGGCATCGCAGGAGTGCCAGGTTCCTAGGTCCCTGGTGTGCTGGTGGGGGCCTTGCCCACCTCCCTGCGGACCCCTCTGCAGAAAGCCGCCTCTCCCCTGCCATTTGCATTCAAGATGGACTCTCTGCCGCCTGCCGCTCCTCGGCTTCCTTGTCATCATCCCTCACGCCCTCCAGCCCTGCCTCCTGCTCACGGGTTGCCAAGCCGCGGCCTGGCCAGCGGTGGCAGTGGCGGAGTTAGACAAAGCCC